TTTCAGTTTGCTGTACTTACTGCTTCTATTACCCTAAATTGGGTAATACTTGTTGTTACATTTTACAACCTCTTGGTGGGCAACTGGTAATAAAGGGAACTTAAAAGAACAGGTAAAATCTGCCCTGGCTGGTGTGGCTCAGTTGGCTGGGTATCGTCCCATGCACCAAAAGGCTGCCACAGGTTCGATTCCAGGTCAGGGCACATGCCCAGGTTTCAGGCTTACTCCACGGTAGGAGGTGTGCAAGAGGCAGCTGACCGATGTTTCACCTTCACATAGGTGTTTCTCTCCCTCTCCCTACCTCTCTCTCTAAAAATCGACTTAAAGATCTTAAAAGAAAAAAGAACAGGTAAAATCTTATTTGAATAAATTTTATGGGTGATCAAATTATTATTACTTTGGAATTTCATAATATTAAATGTATTAAACACTATAATCTCAGTCTCTAGAATGATAAACTACTTATATATATATATCTTGTTTAATAAATTAGTAAGTAAAACTAAGTACTCTTGTAATGTATTCTTATGGAATATGAAAGAAAGTACCATATACAACTTCCCTTTCCCCTCCCACATTTTTTTGACTACTATACATCAGGGATTTAATTGTTTTCTGTAAGGCTTTTTTTTTTTTTTCTGTAAAGACAAAATCTGATTAATATATTTGAGACTGGTAAAATAAAACTATTTCACCTGTCTAGTCAGCAAGATATTCAATTAATATCCGGTTTCTAAGTTTGCAGAAAAATAATTAAAATAATAATTATTCATTAGATAGCTCATTATTCAGAACGTATCAAGCTGTTTTCAGGTTTAAAGACCCTAGTACCTTAACAAAAACTTGGTCATATCAACAAATAGCTATGATCTCCTGTCATCAAACATCTTTCTTACTAGATGTGTGGTCACTCAAATCCTTCAAAAAAATCTTGACCCAAATTTAAGAATATGATTTTTAGTTAGTGTTGTGGGTTCTAAGTCCTAAGCCCTGGCACCTGTGAATGTGACCTTGTTTGGAAACAGGGCCTTTGCAGATGTGGTCAGCCCAGATGGGCTCACACGAGAGCAGGGTGGGCCCAGTCCGATGACTGGTATCTGAGAAGGAGGGCGAGAGTTGGAGCTGAGGGAACGTCACATGAAGATAGCGGCAGAAGGTGAAGGAATGAAGCTACCAGCTGAGGAACATCAAGGAGTGTCAGTAACTGCCAGGAGATAAGAGGCAAGGAAGGGCCCTGGCCGGTTTGGCTCAGCGGTTAGAGCATGTGCCTCGGTTGCAGTTTGTCCCCGGCCCTGGTTGGTCGTGCGGGTGGCAGCCACTCGATGTGTCCCTTTCATGTCGATGTTTCTCTCTTCTCTCTCTCTTCCTCTCTCCCTCCCATTCTATCTGAAGAAAAAATGGAAAAATGTCCTCGGGTGAGGATTAAAAAAAAAAGAGGCAAGGAAGGATTCTTCCTTACTGGCTCCTAAGAGAGCATGGCCCTGCCAACACCTTAACTTCAGACTTTTGGCCTCCTGAACTGTGAGAGAATAAATTTGTTGTTTAAATCACCCTGGTTGGTACTCTGTTGTAGCACCACTGGGAAACTCATGCAGTGGTCAAAAGTCAAGAAAGTAACAAAGTTATTATGGTCTTCCCAGTTCTCCAAACTTTTGGATAAATTCTCCTTACTATTCTTTGTTGGTTTTTCTTCTCTTCCTGGAAACAGATACTTGTCAAGGATCAGTCCTTTGATTTTGGCATGCATGTGTGTATCTTTTTTCCTGCTGATATTCAATCTGTCACTGATAAAAGAGAAGACCCAAACAAATGGTCTCCTTTAGTCATGAACTCACCAATCCTGCCTTTTTTTTTTAATCCTCACCCGAGGACATTTTTCCATTTTTTGTTCAGATAGAGCAGGAGGGAAAGAGAGGAAGAGAGAGAGAGAGAAACATCGATGTGAAGGGACACATCGAGTGGCTGCCACCCGCACGACCAACCAGGGCCGGGGACTAACTGCAACCGAGGTATGTGCCCTTAGCGGGAACCGAACCCGGGTCTCTCTGTACCGCAGGTCGACGCTCCAACCGCTGAGCCAAACCGGCCAGGGCCAATCCTGCCTTTTTAACGGCACTGAGGCGTGATAGTGCTTGGTCATTACCCAAGCATAAATCACAAAGAACTGACCTGGTTGACTTACTCTTATAACTGGGTTCCCACCTCCTTTTACTGATTTTCATATTGTAGTTATTGAAAATAACAGACTCCTTCATAGGATTATAATCTTTTGTAACATTAAGAAAGAAAAGGTGCCCGTCTGGTGTGGCTCAGTGGTTGAGCATCAATCCATGCACCAAGAGGTCGCCAGTTCAATTACCAGTCAGGGCACATGCCCAGGTTGTGGGCCTGATCCCTATTTGGGGGGCATGGAGGAGGCAGCCAGTCAATGTTCTCTCTCATCAATGTTTGTATCTCTCTATCCCCCCCCTTCCTCCCTCTCAAAAATCAATCAAGAAACAGAAAAAAAAAATTTTTTTTTAAAAGAAAGAAAAGGTAACTGTAAAAGACTATTACTCGACACATCTGAATTCAAATATAAAAAAAACTGACTTCAAATTGATAAATATAGGGGTGGGCAGAGTAGGTTTACAGTTATTTGTATGGAAAATACAATAATTAATACATAATAATTACAATAAACTATGTTTCATGTACTGACAACTATAAACCTACTTTTGTCCACCACTGCATGATGTCACCAGCATTTTCCCACCAGCATTTTCCTAGTTATCCAGAGTACTCCATCCTTCCTTATTCCCTTAATCCACACATTCAATACCATCAGGCAGTAAGGCATCTTCCTTTACAGTTACTTAATACCAATTTTCTTTTTTTAAATTTAATTTTATTTTTTTAATACCAATTTTCTTTATAGTTTTAGTCTAAGCTTCATACAAAGACAACTATATGGTAACTGGTTTCTGAGACTGTCTTTGCCCAGCCAAACTCCCTGCATACATCAATATCAAATTAATTTTCCTAAAATATCTATAAATGTTTTATCTGTTTTTTATCCTCACCCGAGGACTTTTTTTTTAATCTTCAGAGTGGGAGGGAGGGGGGAGGAGAGAAAGAGAAACATCGATGTGAGAGACATAGAGTGGCTGCCACGCACACAACTCCAACTGGTGCGGGAGACAAACTGCAACCAAGGTATGTGCCCTTAGCGGGTACTGAACCCGGTACTCTCTGGTCCATGGGCTGATGCTCTAACCACTGAGCCAAACCGGCCAAGGCTAAATGTTTTATCTTTTATTCCCTTTAAGGTAGACTCCGACTCCTTATTACCACTCAGATAAACTCCGAGCTTACCTGGCCTGGCTGTGGCAGACACTGTTAGTTGCATATAATATCTATTCTAATTTTGTTTGAGGTAGTTACACACTCAGCTAATATACAGTTGGCCCTCGTTTATCACGGTTAATCAGTTCTAGACTCTACTGCGATAAATGAATTTCCGCGAAGTAGGGTTCTTTACTTATACACAGTCATCCCTCGACACTGAGCGCTTCGACTTTCCCGGCTTCACTCTATGGCGGTTATTTCCAAATATAGTACAGCATTTGAAAAACAGCGATAGAGTGAAGCTCCAAAAGTCCAAGTGCGAAGTGGCGAGGGACGACTGTACATGTCTTTCCAGATTCCCTTGCAGATAGAAACACCAACTGACATAATCTGGCAGAAATGTTTTAGGAATTTCTGAAAACATCTGTGCTTTCCTGATATAGCACTACCCCTTTCTAGAACATGAGGCTAAAGATGAAGCAAGCATTTTGTAACCATGAAGCAAGAAGCATACAAATGAAACTGACAAAGAATGGGAGATTATATACATACCAGGGCCTAGGTAACTGATTACATTGTAGGGACACTATCCTAGTCCTAGATTTCCTATTTCTTTATGCTCAGTGCAATAAAAAAATAAAATCCTGTTTGGTTTAAGCCACTCTGAAGGGATTCTGTTATAAGGACTTGAATGCAATCCTAACTGAAACAAGTGTTCAAAGCTTCACAACACGCTCTCGATCACTCATTTTGTCTTACCTCCTATTATTTTCCACACTCGCAGGCTTCCATGCTATATTCATATCGTTTTGCACTAAATTTGCTGCTTACAATCATACAATATTCTTCCACACCTCCATGCTTTCATACATTTTCATAGAAATATCATTTCCTTGCCTGGACAAACTCCTACTTAACATCCAATTTAAATAAACATACAGTATTACCTCGTTTTTTTCCCTTTGTGAACCCATAATACTTTGTTCATACCTCTAGCCTAACATTAACCATTGATTTACACATCTGATTCCTCAATTAGACTACTAAATCTTCAAATGCAGCGACTATCTCCTTTTTATCATGTATCTCCAATGCCTGGCACATGTTAAGTTTTCAGTAAATATTTTAATAAAGAATAAAACACTAGTTGGATTTTTTAAACTGGTATTTGTTTGCATTGAAAATAATTCACTATTCATTCACATATACCTATATGTATCTGCCTTTGTCCCATCAGATATTGTTCAACTTTTTTTCTCCCCCAACGCATAACTTATAAAAAATAAATTATAGTACCAGTAGCAGCACCTTGCCCTGGCCATTCTTGCTCAGCGGTTAGAGCATCGGCCCACAAACTGAAGAGTTGTGGGTCTGATTCCAGTCAAGGGCACATACCTTGACTGCACTTCAATCCCCAGCCCTGGAAGGGAGGCAACCAACTGATGTGTCTCACATGGATATTTCTCTTTCTCTCTCTCTCTCTCCCTCTTTAAAAAAAAATAAAATAAAATAAAAAACATATTAACATTTTTAAAAATCCAGTTATCATGTATTATTCTTCCTAATATGTCCTATATGACCCAGCACAAAACTTTAATCTACTCAGCATTTAAAAATGCTTGAAGTGAAGTTATTATGACAGCATGATAAAAAACACAAAAAAACCATTATACCTATAGAGGAAGACTGTGGGCTAATCAGAAGGTCCTCTTGGACTTGTTCACTTCCTGGCACTGTCTGCTGGTCACTCAGTGAACTCTGCGATGCACTGACAGGCTGGGATACTTCTTCATGAACCTCCTCATCACTCAACCTTTCCACTTTGACCCGAACATCTTCTTCGGTACCCAGAGGCAAGGTAGTTTTTGTGCTCTCACAAGTCACAAAATCAGCCATTCTTCTATCTGTCTCAGATGGGCCTGGTAATTCTAGAGTCCGGGTATTTTCTGCCTGCTTAACCTTATCAGGCTGGATCCTTCGATCAATTCCAAAAGGAAAAGTCCAGGGAAAAGCTAACGAAGAGTCAACTGGTTGATTTCTATTTTCTGAGTAGGAAGCTGAAGAATTCAATACCTGGGGAGAACTTGTTTGTGTGCTACACTTTACAGGACTTTCAGGAGACATAACAATGTAGCTTTTGCGCTTTCTTCGGGATTCTCGGCAGACAGGAAGGGTTCTTTCTACCACACTGCACTCTGAAGATACTGGTGAAAGGCTTCCATCTCGAGAAGTAAAATTGCAGTTAGAGTTATTTTCTTGTCCAGCATCTATACCCTTTTCTGGTTGGCTGTTGGGTGTATTCCATAAAATGCTTGATTTCATGAACTCTGAGCAGGTGCTAGCAACACTAAACATTTGCATATAGCTGGCTGCAGCCAGAACATCAATGATATTTTCCGTGTTAATTGACAGAGTAGCTGTGTAAGCATATTCTAGAAGGGGTATAAAACCAGTCACTGTAACATGATGTAAATCCAACACATTCTTGTTCTCATCCTCTGCTTGGCCTACAAGTTTGGTGCGAAAAAAATCACTGCAAGCTGCTAGTACCACCTTATGTGCCCGAAAGATTTTGTCCTGGACACGAATAGTGATATCACAAAAATGTCCATCATTTCGCAGCATATTTAGCTTTCCAAGCATTTCCTGGCTGTGAGAAGAAGAGCTATGAGTAAAAGTTTTCACACCCATCTTTTTCTTCCTCTTCTACAGATGCTCTTTCAAGGATGCAAATGAATCAGAAATGACCTAAAAAATACATAAGATAAGCATTAACTGATGGTTTATTAGTTGAAATAGGTAATTTAGATATGAAAGTCTCTTCAATAAATGATGTTGGGAACACTGGATGGCCATATGCAAAAGCCTATGATCTTACACTGTACACAAAAATTAACTAAAAATAGATTAAAGATTTGAATGGAGGACCTGACAATAAAATACAAAGAAGAAAACATAAGCACTAAGCTTATGGCTATTAGTCTTGGATGTTTTTGTGAACTTGATGCCAAAGGCAAGGGAAACAAAAGCAAAAAAAAAAAAAAAAAAAATGGGACTGCATCAAACTAAAGAGCTTCTGCACAGCAAAAGAGGCCATCAACAAAACAGAAAGGCAACCAACTGAATGGGAGAAGATATTTGCAAATGATACTTCCAATAAGGGGCTAATATCCAAAATATATAAAAACCTCATACAACTCAACAACAAAAATCTGATTAAAAAATGGGGAGAGGAGGACCTGAATGGATAACATTTCCAAGGATAAAAAGATGTTCAACATCATTACTTATTATGGAAATGCAAATCAAAACTACAATGAGATACTATCTCACACCTGTTAGAATGGCTATTAAAAAGACCAGAAATAACAAGTATTGAAGAGGATGTGGAGAAAAGGGAACACTGCTGGTGGGAATTTAAATTGGTACAGCCACTGTGGAAGAGTATGGAGGTTCCTCAAGAAATTAAGAACTTCCATATGACTCAGCAATCCCGTTGCTTCTGGGTATTTAGCTAAAAAGTTTGAAAAATAAAAACACTTATTCATAAAGATGTATTTATTGTTATTATTATTTATAAATTATTGTACTATTTTCCATACGAACAACTGTAAACCTCCTTTTCCCACCCTGTAGACCAGCGGTACTCAACCTGTGGGTCAAAACCCCTATGAGGGTCGAACGACCCTTTCACAGGGGTTGCTAAGACATAACGGTAGCAAAATTACAGTTATGAAGTAGCAACAAAAATAATTTTATGGTTGGGGGTCACCACAACATGAGGAACTGTATTAAAGGGTCGCGTCATTAGAAAGGTTGAGAACCACTGCTGTAGACAAATAGTACTTTGCCATAAAAAGATGAAATATTGCCATTTGCAAAACAGGATGGATCCTGTGTATTATGCTAAGTGAAATAAATCAGATAGAAAAGAAGCAGAGCTGTATAATTTCCCTGATGTGCGGGGTACATAACAGAAAGCAGACAACAGAATGGTGGTGCTGGAGGGGAAGAGGAGTGGGAGGAAGGTGAAGAAGATAAAGGGGTCAAATGTATAGTGCCAGAAGGAGACTAGAGCACACAATGGAGTATACATGTAAATTATAATGTTGTACACCTGAAATTTATATATTATCAACCAATGTTACCCAATAAATTTAATGAAAAAAAGTTAGATCTTTTCATAAAAACTTTATATTAAAATTTTTTTTAATTCCCTCTATCTGTCCCCCAAACTGTCCAATCAACGGAGTCTATAAACTAATGTTTTAATGAACTACATAGGTTTAACTGTTTCACATTTTTTTAAAACTTGTACTTTATTTATTTTTATTATTATTATTTCTTAATCCTCACCTGAGGATATTTTTCCACCTATCTTTAGAGTAGGAGGGAGGGAGAGAGAGTGAGAGAGAGAGAGAGAGAAACACTGACGTGAGAGAGACACATCAACCGGTTGCTGCCCGCGTGACCTGAACTGGGGATGAACTGCAATCAAGGTACTTGCCCTTGGCCGGAATCGAACCGGGTCTCCTGGGTCCATGGGACAACGCTCTAACTGCTGAGCCAAACCGGCCAGGGCTTAACTGTTTCATATTTGAAAATTTATTTGAATGTCATTGTATCTCTATCAATAGGTACAATATTATCTATGTTTGACAGAAAAGGCTTAAGGACCTTGCTGAAGTGGAAAAAGTTATTAAGCATTAGACCTAGGCCTCAAAACCAAGCAGCCCGGTTTCAGAACCTATTTAACTTCAATACCATATACTGCCTCTTTTGGGACGTAAAATAAGTAAATATAGAGGGTTAAGAGTCCAGGTTTTAGAATGCAGTAAGCCTGATTCTCTCCTCAGCAATTCTTCAGTGGTTGTTATAAGAACTAAATGTAACAATATACGTAGTAAATGCTTTAGTACAGTACTTGGCACTTTGTAAATGCTCAACATATACAAGCAGTTATTGTTGTTTAGATTACTAATACAATAAAACTTTTCTGGAAGTAAATTTATGTAAAAAATAAAGTTTAGTAATCAATCAACTGGATTTTCCTTAACAACAAAAAAAGACAGTTGGGTTGCCATCAGATTTTACATTTATTTACTAAAAATATAAAAAAACTGCCTGGCTGATGTGGCTCACTGGTTGAGTGTTGACCCTGCACCAAGAGGTCGCCACTTCCATTCCCGGTCAGGGCACGTGCACAGGCTGCGGGCCCATCCCCAGTGGGGGGCGTGCAGGGGGCGGCCAGTCGATGTTCTCCCTCTCACTGATGCTCCCATCTCTCCTCCTCCCTCCATCTCTCTCTCAAATCAATAAAGAAAAAAAATATAAAATCAGTAAAATGCTCAAATACTTTCAATTAAGCAATCTAATAATACTTCAGTTTTTATAGTACTTTCCTCTAATATCTTTTTATACCCTCTATGTGAAGTCAGGAGGCTTATATTAGCCCTTTGATAAAGATAAGAAAACCAATGCTCAGTTAAGTTAAGTGACTAACAAATGACAACCAAAGCTAGATCTGGGTCATCTGATTCCTCATCATAGAACTTTTCAGCTATATACATCGATTATTTTATCTAAGTTAAATAACTTAAAAAAAATAGTACTGAAATAAATGCAAAACAAAGCAAATTTGGGTAAATGCTTTTATAAATTATCTTGAAATTAAAAAAAATATCAAATGCCTCAAAACTACAGCCAGCCATTAAATTTTATGTTAAAGATGAATATTTAATGGACCTGAAAAATATTTGGTTCTGTGTATTAAATGAATACACAATTACACACAGTGAACATTCAATAGTGGTAGTTATTATTATGTATTAAGGGGAAATATAATCAAAGAATGCACAGACTATGATCCCATCTTTGTGAAATATGTGTGTGTATTTGTACACATACACACCACACACAGCAAAAGAACATGAGGTCTTAACTAGAAATCCATTGATTTCCTAAGGAAGCATGATCCTTCTGAAACTGTATTCGGAATGTCTGCATGTATATACAATAGCTTTCATCATATTAAGAGAATCACTGGTAGGAGTAGAGGTGTTTATTCTTTTCTTTTTGCACATTAAACAACTTTTCCCCAAAAAAACCAAAACAAAAAAATAACATACTGCTACAAAACCACAGGTTTTCAGGTATTTTTGGTCATATAAAGTAGGTCTACTTTTCTTTCCCCTTGAAAGGGATTTTTGAAACTGAAGAAGGCAACCACATTCCACTCTTCCCCTAAGGTTTCTCTTCTTCTTCTTCTTAAAAAAATCCTCAACCCAAGAATATGTTTATTGATTTTAGAGAGTGAAAGGGGGAAGGGGGAAGAGAGAAAGGGAGGGAGGGAGGGAGAGAGGGAGGAACAAACATTGATCTGTTGCCTCCCATACATGACCCGACCAGGGATTGAACCCATAACCTAGGTATGTGCCCGACAAGGAATGGAACCCCCAACCTTTTGGTGTATGGGACAACATTCCAACTGAGCAACCTGACCAGGGTAGATTTTTTATTCTTTAAACCAAACATCCCTTGTCCCTTCAAGTGCTCCTTATAATCTGATTAATATCCTTGCTATTCAGACTACTCCGCTATGAACAATCTCTACTCTCAATACTCTTTTAAGCCTAGTTGCCAGAACTGCACACAACATAAGTATGGTAGGATTATAACTGAGCATACTTCACTATTCTTACCTCCCTGTTCTGGACACATATATTAGTAAGACTAAATCAGGTATTCTGACAGTCAAATCATACCACTGACTGATTTTGTTTACATTATCAAAAGTTTAATCCAATAGCTGACTTACTAAATGTGAGGCACTTTCCTATGTGAAGGGTGGAGACACAAGTACAAATAAAACACTGTCCTTGACTCCATAAGCCCGCAGTCCTTATGAAGAAGACATAAGTGCCTAAGACCACAAGAGGTGTGCTGCAGTGCAATGTGAAGGTAGAGAATGGAACACTTAATTCTCAAGGTCCAAGGAATAAGAGGCATCACAGAGGACAGGGTCTAATGAAAGAAGAATTTTACCAGGTGCTGAAGCAGAAGGGAGTTTTGGGCTATCACAGGATTGCATACTATGTCAGTGAATGCTCCACCCTGTACGATGTGTATACTGTATTGGCAACTTTTTGTTAATGGGAACTGAGATATTCCAAATGTGAGCACGCAGAGGACAATGTCAGTTCAAATATCAAATAATTACATAAACATTCCTTCGAATGTTTTATGCAGGTAAACGTGTACGTGAAGAGGAAACGAAAGAAAAAAAAACCTAAAGATTTCCGGCTGAATAAATATAAAAAGGTCACTGAATATTCTAATACAGGAGACATAATGATCAGTCTGGGATGAACTCTTTCCTGTCTGATAACTGTATAGAAAGGATAAAAGGCATAAAGCCCTGTGATAAGACAGCCAGGTAAGGTCACTGAAATAATTATCATAACCATAAATCAGAGAGTTAACAGTTCAAACATAAACTTGCTCCACAAGTAATCACAAAAAGACACTAGACAGCTAGGATTGGTCTAAGCAAACCATCATTTAACATATTTGCTGATTTTTCTCTCATAGGAATGAGACGGAGAGAGAAAAAATGGAGAGGGCTATGTGAACCTTTTTATTTACTTCCTGCACCCCAGGAAATTGGCTTCCTCTTACATCACCCAGCCAGTGTGGCTCAGTGGATTGGGCATGTCCCATTGACTGAGAGATCCAAGTTCAATTCCAAG